ATTTTTATTTCAAGTGGCATTAAAAAGTCTTAAAAAGTCTTGAATTTAACTTACCTATGCTGTAGGAACCCTGTTCACAGCAACTGATATTTGGAATCAATTTGTGTCTTTTCATAGGAAGGAAATTTAAGAGAAGCTGCTCAGTCCTATCAGTCAGCCCTGCAGAAGTTTCCAGGAGATGAGCTAAAGACTTTCAAACAGCTTAAAGTGTGCGTGCTGCTCAATCTATCCCGCTGCTGTCGCAAAATGAACGTGAGTCTTTTATCTCCAGCAAAACTAAAAGTTTTCTTTTTAATGAATTAATGCTTGTATTTCATTGCTATATTGTGTTTATGTGGCAGGATTTCGGCCGTGCTGAAGAATTAGCTACAAAAGCTCTGGAGCTGAAATCCAAATCCTATGAAGCATTTTACGCCCGAGCCAGAGCTAAACGAAGCCACAGGTACCCGTTCCTTTATTTCTAGTTCACTCAAATTATTGCTCATTGTATTTATTTAATTAGCAAAATATTTTATAAGCAATTAGAGTATGCAAATATGTTTTGTGTTTTTCTTTTATGAACTTTTTTGTTATTTTAGCTTCTGAATGTGACTGCTTTTCAGGTCAAATTAAAGGTACATTTTGACCTATATGAAGCAATTAATTCTCTGCTTTATAACATCCACCTGATGCACCGTACTGATATAAATCTTTCTGTGTACCATGGAAAATGAAATGAAATTGGTGAAACACACACAGCTAAAGAATACACCTAGAGTAGGTAACTGCCAAGTGTTTTTGCTTTGCTGTTTGCCGCTTTTGATTTTTTTTTTTTGTTGCTCAGTAGTACGTATCATTAATTCAAAGTAGTCACTTTGAATTAGCTATGTTTAATTGGTTAATATAATTAGAACTTTAATTACTCAAGTAGCTTAACATGTATTTGACCCTTAAAAAGGTTTGAATTATAGTGAGCAAAACCCAGCAATACAGGTTCTGCTTTTTATGTGTGGTTGTAAAAATTCTTGATGGTTCTTTCACATCCGAAAAATCAATCCATCCATCCATCAGGATGGTGCTTCTGCTGCGTGCGGTCTGAACGTAGCATAACAGTCTTGTTTTGGTGGAATTTAGCTGGAATAACCGGAGAGAACCCATACGTGTACAGGGACCTTCTTGCTGCAAGGCAACAGAGCTACAACATGCCCCACTGTTCAGCCTCATCTGAAAAATCTTTCTATCTGTTACCTGGTTCTATTATTGTCCCACTTTTAAATTGCACAATAGAAAAGGAGATAAAACCTAAATGAATTTAAGATGAAATTACTTCATTTTCTGTAGAAAGAATTAGATTTTAGAGTTGAATACATTTTTTTTTCTGTTTCTTAAAACCTGTTTATTATATCATGTTTTGTGTTGAATTTTCAGACAATTCCATGCCGCATTGGAGGACCTGATTGAGGCCAGCCGTCTGTGTCCTTCCAACAGGGAAATTCAGCGACTGTTGTCCAGAGTGAAAGAAGAGTGTCGGCAAGTTGCACAGCAACACGACCTTCCTTCCTCTATTCAACACCAGGTGGCGATATCCATCAGCGAAGCGCAGTGCCGGGATTCAGACCGTCTGCAGGTGCAGGACAAGGAAAGCTTTAACCCACAAGATAAGAAAGAGGAAGAGGAAAAAGATGAATATTACAGGGGAGATAAAGACTGTTCCTTCCTACATGCTCCTAAAGCACTTCAAAGTCCAGAAACCCACGGCTGCTCCAGAGAGAAATCACCATCTTCTCTGTCCCCTACTCACATGCATCAGCACCTTTCTAGTCCCACCCATTCAACAAACCTCTCCCATCCCAGTCATTCTTTGCCTCCTCCTTCTTCCCTCTCCTATGCCCATGTTGATTTCCCATCATCCCCAATGCAGCATCCACACAGAGCCGGCATAATGTCTGAAAGTAGAGGTCAGTACACCTTTCAAAATGTCTCAGGCCTGAGCCCAGATGGTCCAAATGAGGGTGCACAGCAGAACTATCCTGTGTCCAATAAGAGATCCCTACCGAAGCACAGTCGTCCCCAAGGCCAGTGGCTCCACAACACCAAGGCTGAGGGGAGCTTAAGCACTCAGCTTAGCTCCTCGGCTCCTTCTGGTATTGTTTTGGATAGTTCTGCTTACTCCCATCTTGCCCATCTTCCTGAAGAGTTAGAAGAATTGGGAAAAGGCTTTTATGCGAGCCCGTTCAATGCCAACCCACAAGTTCGAGGCGGCGTTGGAGATTTGTATGCTTTAGATAACGCAGATGTTGAACCTGTTTGCCAAACCAGAGCAACCCCCACATATGGCCAAGGTACAGAAGCAGACAGAGTTGGAGTAAATAGTTTTAGTCAGTCTCGACAGCTCAGCCGCAACCAGTCCAAAGCAGCTTACTACCCAATGGAAGTTACAGAGGCTGGGATGGGGCATAAATCATTCAAAGACTTTCACTACCACCAGGGTGGACTTCGTCGCCCTCTCAGTGCCCACCCTACCTCCTGTGCTCCTCCTAGGTCTCTGGTCCACTCCCATAGTGTGAATGTGCGTTTTTCTTCTAGCAATGGAAGTCTTGCCAGTGGGATGCACCCTAATCAGGGCCAAAGTTTTCGAACCTCCTCCTCTGCCCAGCAAATGGATCTACCTCCAAAATCCAAAGGTGTTTATGATGATACTCATGAGCTCCTTCCCGATTCCTCTCCTGAGTCAGATGTCTGGAGGACCTATCCTGGAGAGGAAGAACTCTTAACCAGAAACACGATTTTCATGGGAGTAACAGACAAGAGAGTCCGAGCGCAACAGCAGGTTCCTTCAAGTTCAGCATCTTGCATCAATCCCTCTCGTTCCTGGGTTGTTTCTTCAGTTGACATGGTTGTTACCTCACCAACTAAAAGCCCTGCCGACCACAAGGCTCTGACTCCAGAAACACCGTCATGTATTGCCTATTTCAACCGGAGCAACAACAACGCACACAACCTGCGCCACGAAAACCAAATGGACTTCTATAAAGGAGTTCCTCAAAGCAGCCGATGGCGGGAAGTTTCAGGACGCGTAAAAGGTCAGCAACCTTCCTATGTTGACGTGAAGGTCGCCCGAACAATGCCGGTTGTCCAAAGCTGCCCCGACAGGTTGACAGAAAGGACGACTGTACCTTCCTCCCCGGTCAAACCAAAAAGACCCTTTATAGAGTCCAATGTCTAATAAGGAACATAAACATTAAACAGGCGAAGAGGAATTTATCTACCAGTTTATTCCAAGAGATCCCAGCTGTCTCTTATGGTGCCCAACCACAGATTTCTGTTGCACTCAACTGGAAGGGACTATTTATTTTATTTGGAGACACAAGTAAAAACAAAACAAATTATTTCTACATTAAAGTCTTCATGCAGTATCAATCTCAACTGATCGCCAGAGAGGGCTCTCATTTATCCTGGCAATGAATTTAATCAACAGCGTTGTTTTTTTTAGCCAGACAGAGACTGTTTACTGTGAAAAGAAGACTTAATATAAAAGAAAAAACTATTTTACATCTTTATGCATCAAAAGCACAAGATGGAGAACAATTATGTGAAATGGAAACAATTGCAAAAAAAAACACCAAATCCTTCTTTCTTTCCTTCTCTCATCTCACGTTGAATGAACTTTTAAGAGAAAAATAGTTCCTGTTTATAAAGCACTAAAGTAAATAATGCACCACTGTTACCTTTTCATGCTATTATGCCTTTAATGAAAATCATCTCAATGTGCGAAGATTCAACTGTCAAAAAGTAAGTTGTGTTTGTCAGCGTGTCAAACCGAAAGCCAAACAATTAGAAGGGCAATGCATTCAGTTATTAGCACTTTTTCATTGTGTATAAAAGGGTTATATTTATCTTTTTTTTTAACTTATGTCTGTATTTAACTGTACAAATGTGTTCTTTTTACATTAAGAATTGTTTTAGCCTTTGTGGGGGGGGGTTTCTGAGTTTTTATCAGTTACGTTATTTAATTTGCACTTATTAAAGCAGCACAAAGTAACATCTCATTTAAGTCCCTGTGGTGATCATCCCAGTTTTTATGAGACCCTTTGGGTGACTCTCATCTCCTGCTGCTGGTTCTGATCCAAGTCTCACAGCTACTTTATGGCTGCCCAATAGAAAGCCTTTAGCTCCAGTAAGCAAACACCTTGCTGTGCTACCCGAAGGTTATAGAATGGTTTGGGCTTTTGTTCTGTTTTGGAGATTTATGTCATCTTGAGGCTGGAAAAATGTCAAAGAAAACCTCTGTCTGAAAAGGAAATCCAGTCGGGACTGGACTCTAAGAAAGGCATTTAGTCCTGAAGGTTGAAAACTGATTCAGACCTGAAAATGTTCTTATTGGACCAAATCTGCTAACCTCTGTTAGTGTAACTGTTTTGACTTTAGATGTGGTGCAGCTATAAAACCTGGAGAGGCTGAATCGCTGATAAAAGCAGGTAAAAAATGGTTCACTGAAGAGGCTGGCTTTTATGAAAGTTTTTTTTTTTTTTGTCTGAAATTGCTGCATCACAGTAATTTACATTTAAAAATGTAAAATACACCTTCAGACCTTTGGTATGTGCAGCTGAGGTGCTGCGCACTGAGAGCTGTCTGCGTTTACAAAGGTGCTATTTTCTAAAGGTCCCGTAGGGAGAAGGCAACTAAAAAATCACATAGTTCTGGTTTAAGTCACTTTGTTTCAGCTATTTTTGGTTTCTTTGTTTTTTTCTACAATTTTATATCATGTTTTTTTTTTCTACTGGTTAAGTATGCAGACCTTTTTACCTTATTAAATGTAATAATTTTCTTGTAGATTTGATGGAATGCCAGAGTCCTGAACCATGAAGGTGGGTTAGCCTGATAACTTCAGTTTTGAACCTGACTTTCCGGTTTTACGAAGCAGGATTCATTCTTAGCGAGGCTAGTCACCATGGTAACATATTCTGAATGGCAAATCTGCTTCGGGGCAGGCTAGCTTTCATGATTGACCTGAATGCTAGAAAGCAGCCAATCAGCTGTTTTGGAAACAATGACCAACTTTTTCATTGAAGACCTGATTTAATTCAGAGGGGAAAAGAACCTAAACAGAATAACATAATTAAATAACTTAAACACCAACAAGCACTTAAAACTGAACATGTCCTTGACAAATACAGACCTTTTACTAATCTGTATTTGTTTACCCCTGTATAACGATCTCATACACCACTGGCATTCACTTGTTTCTTGTTTGATTTACATATGAAGCTAAATAAAGATATAATAAAAATCAAAGTGCAAAAATGAAGAGGGTCCGTTGGATCACTATGACGATTACTTATAGAAGTGATACAGGTTTTCACAGGCCGGACTGGCATATAGACCATGAGTGTCGGATTTGCATTAATGCTTCCCTAACTGGATCACAGACTGGATGTTTGGCCTTTATTATGTAACTGGCAGCTTCATGTTCACCATCAGGGATGCTGAGCCCATTGCCTATACACAGTTAAAAAGAAGCATTTTATGCAATTAGAACAATCAAGCAGTTAAATATACAAGTTGGCCAATATGTATGTGTGTTTTTATTTATTTATTTTTTTTGCTGTAACAGTATGAATGAGGAGTGTAGATGTTACACTGCTCTGATGGGGGGTTAATAGTAAACCGACAGGTAAACAAAAAGTTCTGGCAGAGCGCAGAAATCAGGGTGATTTCGCTCAGACTGATCTCTTCTTGTATTAATATGATGCAATCATAGCTTCAGCTTTATTGTCGCCCAAACACTGTTGAATTAAAAAGTCCAACTAACCAGATGAAATTATGTTGTTTTATTATGTGTCATCTACACTCCTGAGGGGAACGCTGTTATCATGCACTGCAGTGATTGGGATGCTGGATGTATTAAACATCTCATGTGTAACTTTGCTCCTTTGCCAGCGTTTTTGGCGTCTCTTTCTTGCGTCCACCATGTTTGACTTTTCATTGAGACTTTTTTGTCCTCATTTTTCTGCCAGATGAGTTTTTTTCCCTCTCAGGAGAAATACGGCGTTCTCCTTTCTGTGCTCGTTCTTCTGATTGGTCTGTTACCTTGAACCCGGCCTGCCTTCACAGATTCATAATCAGTTGAAGCTGGGTTGAGTTAGCATGGTGATAACCTAACCTGACTCCGCCAGATGGATTTGCTCCACATATCCATCTGGAAACCTTCCGTTGAAGTAATTTTGGGAAGGGGCGAAAATACTGGTTAGCTGATTGGCCTATGTTGGTGATAGACGGGCCAAATAAACCAATCAGATCAACGAAGCATATGACGTACTAACAGAACGACGACGAAAACACAACCACAAGCCAGGCTACTCTTGCCAGAACCAGTCGGGAGAAGAGCAAAAACATCTTTTCCTCTGAGAAAAGCCTCCAGAGCAGTGTTTTGCTCTTCTCTCAGTGAAGAAATACTCTGGAATTCCGATAAAACTTGCTCGATAGCCACGCTAACGCTAGTTTCATCGGCTGAAGCCGCCATGTTAGACTGAACTGTCGCGCTTCTCATTGCGTCACACCTCAACCCGACTTTTCATTTTCTACATTTGAATTTAGTCAAAAGAGGAATTAAGATATATCAGACCAAAATGTTTAAAAAAACAAGTTGATTATTCAGTTACTTCATCTGTATGGCATTAAACTGGTCTGAAAAAACCTGAAAAGTTTATCCAGTTTATAGGTCCCGACTAACAAACAACATCAGACTGGAAGTAATCCCGCTACGCTCGCTTTGTGGTTATGGGCTTCACATCATTACCAACATCTTCCTTTATTTCATAATAAAGTGTTGATTTGGTTTGGATACTGACCATTTTGAGCATTTCTGCTTTGCACTGACGTTGCAAACAAGTTGTGGTTTGTTACTAAGCTGACAACACTTTTTTTATCTAAATAATTTGTAAAGGACACTATTCTCTACATTTTTAGACATGTTAGCTCGGGTGTTTGTCCGATGATACAAAAGCTGAAAGCTGGTCTGTTTTATTATTTTATGCTTTGGACCTTTTTAGAAGAGGCTTGATATAGAAATGTTGGCAAGGAAAGGACTGCCATCTGTTCTAATCTTAAGACCGCTGTATCAGGATGCTAAATGCTAAACACACTATTTGCTAATAAGATGCTAAGCTGCATAATAATTTTATTTAAGAAAAAAATTCTATTCCTTTGTATTTTATGATGGTTTTTAAATGGAAATATGTGTTTAGCAAATCCAAGCTTTGGAAACTACAGACAAGAATCAACTTTAAAACATTGCATCTCATTTTCTTATTTGTTTGCGTTACTGAAGCACCAAGAAACTCCATGATTGACCGATTAAAGTGCTGCAATTGATGAAATGTGTATGTCATGTTTTATGTCCACTCTTAAAAAACATTGTAATGGCTGAATTTCGGGATTGCATCTTTGTTCTCTAAAGCAGTGACTTAGAGGCCAATGAAGGAAAAATATATTTGAAATGTATCATTGATTTCACATTTTTCCATTTTTTTACTCCTTTAGTTTTTTTTTTATTTGCATTGTTAATTTAAATGTAATTTAGTTTTAAGGACACATAATGTAAAAACAAAAAGTATTTAGTGGTGTCAGCATTCTTTAAAGCATGTTTCTCCCTTTTTGGCCACTAAGATGCTCTCTACCTCAGTTTAAACTTAAACTTTCTGAAAAGAAATTTTAAAAAGGGAATTTTTAGTCGAACTATTTGGAGAAGCTGGAGTAAACAGTATGTTTTCCACACGTAGCGTTGTTATATGGGAACAAACTACACATGCCGGTCCTTTTTAACCATGGTTTTTGTGATGTCACTGACGTTTTTTCCAGTTGTAAAGAATCTGACAGATGCCTATAATATTTCTTACCTCTCAACAGTTAAAAGTGAAACTGCAGCAAAAGGAAAACAACTCTGTCCAGTTGGAATGCCTCATTTTATATTAGTGAACGGGACTGAATGGTAAAGACCTGTCTATCATATTGAAACGGTTTATATGACACCCATCGGGTGACCTGGTCAGTGTTGGTTTGCTGAAGGATATTTAAAGTCCTGGACAGTTATCACAGTAAAGAAGATTATCTGACATGAATGTGTTCTTGTGAGATATTTCCATGGAAGAATAAAACTAAATTACTGAGATGTTAAAGCCTTGTCTCTTCATTTCTGGTTTTCAGTGCTCGGTACTGTTTCTCTCTTATGAGCTCAGCTTTTACTGTGACTAAATGTACTGTAGGTGCTCTCTTTCTTCCCTTTTGGTACAAAAACAGGATCCGGGCTTATCTTCTCAACTTTGTGTTTTATATAAAGAGCCACTTATGGAGCCAGTTTGCTTTTATTTTTCTAACATAGAATGTATTCATAGATCAGGGCTTCGACTTTATGTGCTTTAGTGTATCTACTTCTGTTTCTTTCCACTTCTAGTCAGCCTCGGCAGAAGGCCGCTCATCCTGAGCCTGGTTCTGGTTGCTTTTCCTCTCTTCTTATGCTCGTTGTGAGGTATTGCTTTAGAGTCAACAACATTGTGCAAGTAACCTGCTATTGTCGCCACATGTTCATGTTTCTATCTTAGAAAATAACCTAAAAAGTTTGGTGTTATTTTCAATCAGAACCTGTCATTTAAATCCCAAATCAAAGAGGTTTCTTGAATATTGAAAAAAATTAGAAGCATCCTGTCCAGGGGTGATGCTGAGAAACTGGTCGGTGCATTTATTACTTCAACGCTGGACTGTTATTGTTTACAATGAGGAAGTCCATTAAATATC